TTTATTCGGCAAAATTTTAGGATAACGTCATCTATTTTTTGGGGGGAATAAACAGATATATTTTTCAAAGTTTTCAGTTTTGCAATTTTTGATCTATTCAATACAATAAATTGACTGATTCATGTTTTATTTTAGTCAACCTGTATAAGCAAAAAAAAAAAAAATATATAAATGGAATGATAAACCACAAGTATAGACTCATCATATTTTGGACATTTTAGATTTTTAGATTTAGATTTATTCAGCAAACCTTTGAGCTGACGTCATCAATTTTTTGGAGGGGATAAGCAAATATATTTTGATTAAAAATTTGTTATACTTATCATAACTTTAAAACATGTACAAGATTTAAAAGCATTCGGTTTTGCCTATTAAAAATTAAATTGTAAAATGTTGTTTATAATTTTGACTTTTTTCAAAAATCTGGACGTTTCGGGTAAAAACTCAACAGGGAGTCATAAATTACATGTGTTATTTTATACAATTTAAAACCCATTTACATCACATTATTGGTAGGGATGATTAGGCAAATTTTGGTTAGCTTTTTACCATCTACATGATATTCGAAATACATATATATATACAAAATTTGACAACAATTGGCCCAGTACTTTCGGAGATTATCTGTCTGATAAAAATCGGGACGGCAGACAGACGGACAGACACACAGACAGACAAACAGAAACGGGAGACCTATTTCTTCGTACCCTAGGGGTTACGTAAAAGTAGAGAGTCGGCCGAGGTACTCGATTACAATGCTTTCTTCGTTTACGCTCCGGAAGTAAAAATGGTAGAATACACTTTAAATATAACATATATAAGCCAAAATAGAACAAAAATAAAAAAAATAAATACAGTTAATTCTTTCGTGACTCTATTGTATTTTTTTTTTGTGCAGTTACTGTCTTTTCGTTTGTTTTTCCAAATTTTTCGAGTTTTCTTTACGTAAATTTCATAATTTTTTATAATTCCTGAATTGCCAAATATATATATGGAAAGACCCTTTGACTACGAAAAATAGGTCTGTCGTCACTGTGAGATAATCTCAGAAACTACTTGACCGATTGTAGTCGAATATCGTGTAGATATAAAACCCCAGACAAAATTTGTCTAATCATTCCCACGAACAATTTGATGACCTCACCTCAAAATTGTGCATAGTATGTAAATTTTATAAAATAGCATACTCCTTCACTTACGCTTTATGAATCCACCTTGATTTTTTTTACCCTACATAACCAGATTTTCACAAAAAAAGTCCAAATTTTATTAAGCTCACATACTTAACTTTTTGTCTTACACACTGTATTTATCATAAAATAAATAAAATTTCTCAAAATGCAATTTTATAATTTTAGAGAAAGCTGGAGCTGTTTGAATGTACGAGGGAAGTTCTGTCTTAATTCATTCCGTTTCATGGTTGTTTTTATTTAAAAGTTTCATTTGTTCATTCTCAATTTCTTTTTTTCTGACTTTTTCTCTCACTTTTTTGCCACTACACTCGTTCTGTTTGTTTCTTTCATCGTCTGATTGGACTTATTTAATGTAATGTTAAGGAAGTATTGTAATACGCGACTAGCTACTTTAAGGTTTTCTCCTCATTTCTTGGCCCTCCACAGTATGGAAAACATACGTCGCCTGGCGCTGTCTGCCATCTATCTACGTTGACTTTAATTAGACGGGATAATCTCCGAAACTACTGGACTGATTATTGCGAAATTTTGTATATATTTAGATGGTAAAAAGCTGACTAAAATTTGGCTAATCATACCCACCATAAAGCCTAGTAAATGTTATTTAAATTGTAGGTACTGTAGTTGTGGTTTATGAATCCGCCTTGATTGTTTATCCTACAGGCATCAAAATTCTCGGACAAAAATCCAAAATTTGTAGTAACATTTACTGTTGAAACGTCGTGCTAATAACACCAAGGTCACAGATTCGATCGTCTCATGGGCCACTTTTGTGTACACTGTGACTGGTATTATTTTTTTTTACGTTTTTCCAATTTTCTTGAAGCTTCTTGGCAGTGGAAGGGTTCACAAAAAAATCGCAATAGGGTTATTTTTAAAGTCTCTCTTACAATATTTTATGGAAGAATAAATGAATTGTTTATAAACAAATCTCAAACTTCACAGTTTTAATTATTCTAATATGCTGTATCTCGTAAAACATCGCAGTAACTATCAACTTTAAATAGAGAAAATACTGAGCAAAAAAGAAAGAGAACAAAAAAATAGCATACGATGCAGGAATAAAACATCGGGTGTTCTATTTGAAAAAACTGAAATAGCAATATTTGAAAACTGTAATAATTAAAACACTTTTATAACCACTCTGTATATGAACATGTAATCTCATTTATTTCATAACAAAGGGCGTACCTTGCTTTATCTCTCCACAAAATATTGTAACATAGATTTTAAAAATAACATTATTGTGATTTTTTGTGGACACTTGCATTGCTAAAAAATTTTAAGAAAATTGGAATAACGTGGCAACGTCGCATCGTAATTTCAAAAATAAACTATGGTTGTAAATCCTAAGAAAATGTCAATCAAAGTATGTAAAGATATATAGGGTGTTTCATTTAAAACAACTAAGTTGTATATTACGCCTTAAAAGCAATACTCTGTATATATTTAAAAATAATTTTAGAATATAATACTCCTCAAGGAACCATACAATTTTAGTCTTTGGTTTTTTTTTTATTTGTAATAATTAATGAGATATCGAGGAACGCCCGCTTAATGACTCACCCTGTATATGCAAAGTTTTGGATATTTTTACTTAATCTCTAAAATATATATTGTGATTTTACCAGAAGAATGTTTTAATTCATTTTCTCTCAAAATACTAATAAGTGAAAAATAAATCAAATTTAATTAATAGTTCAAAATAAAAATTTATTGTCTTATTCTCTGAAAATTTTCTTCAATTTCTTCAAAACTGTGGAATTTTCTCAAAACACAGATTTTAAATTTTATATATGTAAAATAGCTGAAAAAGGTTTTAAAATGTTTTTCAAAACATCTTGACTAGTATAGTAGGCCAAAAGCTATAAGGTCATCTTAAAATTATCCCATTGTGTCGAAGTTAAGTTGTTTACAATAGAAAAGGTTTTAGGGTCGTAAATAACGTGTCCACTGCAGCTCGACTGGCTGTTGTCGTTTCGTTCAGGGGCGGCTTTTACTAAATATATAAATCTAAGCAAGAAATGTGTAGAAGACGATATTGCCAACCGGTAAGCTTAGTGCGAACCACACAAAGGGGGTATTTATTTGCGGTCAACTACTTTTATGAGGGTCATATAACCTTATAGCTCTTAGAGTACTTTACATTTTAAACGAAATTTTAGATTTTTGAAAAAGAAACTAAAAATTTGAGTATTGAAATTTTGACTGAAGAATTTATTTTTCAATTTAACTTTATCTCACAAAATGCTGAAATTTCCTCAAAACGGTGATTTTCACTCAACGCCAAATAATTTGGAAAATTTTGAATTCAAGTTTATTACCTTTATTTATTGTATCATGAAATAAATAAAATTTCGCAAAATCAAATTTTACAGTTTTTCGAAGAAACTAGAGCTGTATGAGTGTCCTTCAGAGGCGAGAGAAGTTTTGTCTAAATATTCTTTTTTTCATTTTTATACACCATTAAATGTAGCTATTATTTCACGATTTTATTCATATTAAGCTAAGGAAGTATTGTAATATGGTCCATTCGGAAAATGGAAACTTTAATGTTTTCTCGACGTTTTATGATCCCTGCAGTATGAAGAATTAAGCTTCCCATTTCCGTCTGTCTGCAGATTGCGTCGGCGATATTTATTAGGCAGATAATTTCCAAAACTACTCATTTTCAAATTTTATATGTAATTTAAGAATAACGCGTTGATAAAGCTAACTAAAATTTATCTAATAGTCCCTACCAATAATTTAATGACGTCACCTCAAAATTTTGCATGGTAAAGGCTATTCAACGTATTTATTGTTCGTGAAGCCGCCTTGATTGTCAATCCTAGATATTATCTAGATTAATTAATTATTTTACGGTTTTGAATTTTTTTTACAAAAATGATGACTTAGTTAATATCACCTAAAAACCATGCCATTTCAACTGAGTTTTAACTAATATAAATGAGACTACGTCATTTTTTGCATGAAGAACATGCATAACTAAAATTTTGTTAACACTGTGAATTACTAAACCAGTCTTAAAAAATTTAAAATAGTCCATTACATAATTGTAAATTTTAATTCTGACAACAATTTGTCGAATAATACACATACGTTTAAATAAAATAAAACTATTATAAAGCATATTTCAAGAAAATAATTGTTAATAAATTTTGTGAAGTTAATGACAAATTATTTCCATTGATAGAAATTACAACGACGATTTGACCACAAAGATAAAGCCCCATATATTTCGGGTTATCTACTTGAATTTCTCTTACAGGTGATATAGATGGCTTTTCAAGTATCTCGTGTAAATCAGAGATTTAACAGCCAATTTAAAAACGACCTATTTTAAAAGGATAAAGATAATGGTTCAGGGACGTACAGCACTTTAGGGACTAGGGTCTGGCCCATTGTGCATATTAAGGGCTAAACTTAACTTCACTCTTAAGACAATCACAAAAGACCACGTCCGAAGTGTAATTCTAACCCACTGTTAAATAGCTTTAGTCTCTGAGGTGGTCAGTCCTGAACCTTTGCCAAGACAAATAAAACTGCGTGTCTTGCGGAAACGTTCTGTTGGAAACTGTGGCGTTTCTTACACGTTTATTTGCTTACATGAAGCAATCTCCGGTGTTTGTTGTTTTCAATTTATCAAGACGAAAGCGTTTGAAGGATTTTCTCGTGCTACTTGTGGCTTATTTCATTTTGTGACGCTGTCATTTATCCGAAACAAAAATCACAAAATTTCTGTGCAATAAAACAACAAATATCCGAATGATCACCGGATAATCTTAACACTCTTTCGTATTCTAGCGCAAGAAGTACCTTCACAAAATTGGCAGAGTCTCTATGAATCTTTTGGTAAGCTTTAAAAAGTAGTAATTTAGTTAAATCATCCCCGCCAAGTTTTTAGTGACGCCTTTAAACAGCCATATTTTGGCATCATAGTTATCATGTTTCATGAAGACGAAATTTTGTCTGCAGGTTTTCAATGAACATAAAATTAATCTTGTTGCGTACTTATGAGGCAATTTTCAATGATTACGATAATAAAGCGAAACGAGATCTACTTAACCTCGCGAGGACTCCATTTGGTCGTTCTAAAACTGCACTGTGTAGTTTCTAAGTACAGTGCAATTTCACTTTATTCGAAATTTTACCGTGTAGACACCATTTGTTACAAAAGCTCTTTACTGATCCGACAAGCCCGACCTTAAAACAAACAAAAACACGAGATTTATGCCAAATATTTTGCCTCAAATATTTATCCTTCTTGAAAAACACAGAAAATGTTAAGTAAACACGTTGTAACTAATATCGAGAATTAGTAAATGATACCGACAATAATTAATATTGGAAAGCATGTACAACTAACGTGATATTCCTAATAATCACGATCTAGAAACCAGAGTTAATTACCATCGAAACTATATTAAACTAATTTTGATTTCCGCAGAAGCCACATTCCCAGTTATCTAATAAATGCTGATAAAGCTACAACGGCTTACAACTCCATAAACAACAGTGTAAATTTCGCCATTCTCGCGTACATAATTTTATAAAACCCAAAGATTTCCTAAAAATTTAACTTTACGCATAAATCAACAAACCCACCGTGTGTTTTTATTTTGCGTGGCGCTTTTTCCAGAAATTACCACTTCGTTCCTTTAGATTAAAAGGAGAATTTACTACACTTTCTTCACAGTCACCGAAACACGCTGGATTAGAAAATGTATCGAAACACTCGGATCCAATATAGAGCTTTAAGCCACTTCAGCGAGTCTTTGTTTTTATTTTTAATAACAACTAAAAGCTTTGTGTCGTGCCACCTATTTTCTCCGGTTCAAGAAAACTTTCATTTATTGATTACTTCCAGCGCTATTATATTTATGGTAAACTTCAATTTTTACATTAAAAGCTCGACCAAACCCCTGAAACCAAATCGATCATAATAACGGTGATCGGCTTGACTGAAATGAATATTGATGGGCGTGTGCTGTATTGACAGATTTGATAAACATAAATATGTATCTCCACATATACAGAACGTGTAAAAAGTTAAAAAATCCCACCGGAGCTTAAATTGAATTCGAAGCAGCGAATCCACGTGCCTGAAAATCAGAAAATTGTTTTATTCAAATCCATTTCAACTTTTATTCGGCCAATATTTCAAAGGATATCATTGAGCCGAAATGAGTTAATCGGTTCAGTGTTACAAACCGGAACGAAATCGATTTTTTAAAGCTACAGAATTTTCCCCGTTCCACAATCTCTCATTAAATAAACGAAAAACGTTAACCTGTTAAATGCTAAAAAATAGTGCGGTAATGTATAAAATAGATATTAGCAAATTGATATTTTAATATTTATGACGTTATTAATAAAGGTAAATTTATTATTATTGTGTTTCCGTGTACGTCAATTTAACATAGTTGTGCTTCTAACCAGCGCGATGTAGTATTTTGTTAAACATAACACAATAAAGACATATTTCAGGCGAAAATTCAAATTCTATCGGCATTCTCCCCTGTCAGTTCAAAGCTTTAACGTGTATTACGTTTCAGGATTTTACGACACACTTCACTTATTGATTATGACGGCCGTAAGGTGTTGTACGTTTAGATTATACCGCAAAATTAGACCACAAGGCGTGATTTATATTTCAGGCGTGTTGATTTTAGCAATATTGGCTCGGGCTCATGATAAGCTCGGCGAAAGCTCAGTTTCAGGAAAAGTATCGCCAAGCGAAGAACTGGAAGGGCGCCAAACCCACAAATAGACATCGAACAAAGCTCGCGTCATTAATCACGCAGGATAAATAAAAATTTGTTCAATGATGGGCGAATAGCGGAAAACATGCACCGTATGAAGCCCCATGGGACGTTGACGCATCATAAATTATGAGCAAAATCAAAACTAAGATGGATATGTTTACAGGCTCACGAGGGTCAACAATTTGTGGCGTAGGAAATTTTTATAACTTTGCGTCACGAAAGCGCTGATAAAGTATTTCGAGTTGAAGCAGGAGCGGCGGGAAACGAAACGGGCGTAAAATTTATGCAACCTCGAAAAGCTCTAATCAAGGGTACAATTTTTATACGGACGGGGAAAAGCTCGAATTTGTTCGGAACGATGTAAGTACTGGCGAAAATAAGGGATTTTAATTCGGAAGCTTGTCGGGGACTCGGGCGTTTTAATTGGAGCGGGCACGCGAAGGGCCAGTTCAACATAATTCACGAAAAAATTACGGAAATTGTGTGAGATAACTTAGGTGTGTTCGAAATATTCATTATTGCGGAAAGTGAACACACGAACGTACACGTGTATGTGTATGAGGGAAAGTGGAAAAGGCGGAGGGAATTTTGGGAAGACATGTTTAATTAGGTGGAAACGCAGAAATTATAATTTGAATTTAATATTTAAAGTGAAAATCAGTTTGGAACAAAACTAGGTCACCACCCTTATAACAGAATCAAGAATTTTTAATAATTTAGAATTCGACTGGTTGTTAAGTATCAAAAAGTATAACCTATATATTTATTTTGAAATCATATTTTTCTACCAAGCTGCCATTCAACTGCTTTTTTTTTTTTAATTCACCCGAGCTTTGCAAGGAGGAACCGAACTTTTTCTGAAACAATGACTGGTGTATTTATTAGAGTGCACTAACCCTAACACGGTGGGCAATTTGTTGGGGCATGTGCAACCTGAGGGAATACATTATTCCCACAGGATTGTACATCACGCTCTTTGTTCCAGTAATTTACAAAGAAGCGCAAATGTTTAGTAATTTAAAGCCACAATTTGATATATCTTCAAACAAAATCAGTTAATGAAATTCGTTCCAGAAATATGTGTTTTTATGGAAATGTTATCTAATAATAATTTTTTACTGCACACAAAAAATATTATCACGAACAGATTTACCATTGCAAGAATACTAGTAAAAATAAGTGATTGGAATTTATTTTTAATATTGCTGAATTTAATATTTATAGCAACTATTATGACAAAAAATTTGAACTAAATATGGAACAAGGTTCATTAAAAAACTTGTCCCTTACAAAAATAGCAAGAGTTAAAAATATAACATTTAATATTCATCCATTAAAAAAATATATATTACCAAAACCCAAACAACGTTGCGTCGCAAAGCGTATTTTTTAAAAAATATGTAATAATTTTTTGATATGATGTCTCTACTTGCTAAGGAGAATGCATAAAAAAGAAATTCTAATAGTTGATTTGTAATCATTGCTAATATTTTGGCATGATTTCAGAACTGGCCTTTAAAGTAGTCAAAAATAAACGGGTTCTTCGAAAAATTATAAAATTTAATTTTGCAAATTTTATTTTTTAATGATAATAAAAAAGATATAAGTTAAAATAAAAGTATGTGTGGACCACTAACTAAAAATATTCACGCCCTCCTACAAACTTAATTTAAAGTTGCGTCCCCTTCCCTCATATTTATTAATAATAAAAAAATAAAAATTATCATAATAATAGAACATTTTGCACTTAATTGATATTAGTTTTCTCCTCTATTTTCAGAAGACATAATTAATCAAATTTCATTTTTTCTTAACACAAATCCAACCAGCATCTATCTGTACGTGCTTAATACTAGAATTCTTTCGATGTATGAACATAAGAAGTCGAAGTTAAACATGTACTGATAATATTTAGTATTTTTCGCGTTGATCTCTGCTTTAAATATATTTAATGTCATCAATACCTGTGCGGCTGTGGCTGCCTTATACTTGGCGGATTCATAAACCACAAGTGCAGGAGTATCTTATTTTATAAAATTTAAATAATATTTATTATTGTAAATTTTAGAGACGACGTCATCTCATGGTTGGTGGAGATTAGAGAATTTTTGGTTAGCGTTTTACTTAACACACAAACGTATAAAATTTGACAAAAATCGTTGTACTAGTTTCGGAGGTTATCTGTATAAAAAAAATTGACACAGACGACAAACGGAAATGGGAAACCTACTTTTTCGTATTGTACAGGTCATAAAACGTCGAGAACACCTGAACGCAGCGACTGGTCCGGAAAATGGGGGATTAGCTCTTCAGTATGTTATGTACACGCGTTTCAGGAGTCCCAAAAAAATAATAAAAAAGTTCTTTATGATATTGATTACGAAAAAAACAAATAATAAACATTTAATAAGTCATTTATAAATTATAAACAAAAACAAAACCAACAAAAGAAAAATCCATTAAAGCATGTTTCCAAATTTTTTGTAAAAATTAGTCATCAGTAATCGCTAAGATAAAACTGATTTTGGCAATGACATACCCTCTAAGGAAAGGGAGGGCGGATGGGCGGGGCTAGTACCTGCTAAGATAAAACTAACTTTGGCAAATGACTAAGAAAAGTAGGGTGGGTGGACGGCGTTAGTGGCTGCTAAAATAAGACCGATTTGGCAAATGACATACCCTCTAAGAAAAGAGAGGGTGGGTGGGCGGGGCTAGTACCTGCTAAGATAAGAGAGATCTTAGCAAATGAAATACCCGCTAAGAAAACAGAGGGCGGGTGGGCGGGGCAAGTACCTGCTAAGATAAGACGGATTTTGGCAAATGAGACACTCTCCAAGAAAAGAGAAGGTGGGTGAGCGGGGCTAATAGCTGCTAAGATAAGGCTGATTTTGGCAAATGACACCCTCTAAGAAAAGAGAGAGTGGGTGGACCGGGCTAAGATCAGAGCGATTTCGGCAAATGAGATACCTTCTAAGAAAAGAGAGGGCGGGTGGGCGGGGCTACGACCTGCTGAGATAAAACTCATTTTGGAAAATGAGATACCCTCTAAGAAAAGAGAGGGCAGGTGGGCGGGACTAGTACCTGCTA